CACCTGCGCCAACATAGCTGGCAGCAGCAGCAGCAGCAGCAACTGCAGCAGCAGCAACTGCAGCAGCAGGGACTGTACCTCTAGCAGCGCAGGGACGAGGGCCCTGACCTTCCACGAGGGGTGCCTCATGTAGGAGACAAGTGCTGCGACGAAGTCCCTTTGCTGCTGCAGGAGGCTCTTGCCCTCCTGCTGCTCCTGCTGCTGCTGCTGCTGCCACAGCTGCAGCACGTCGGAGAGCAGCTGGCGCTGCTGCGTGGCGAGGCAGCAGAAGTGCGCTGCATGCACCGCGTGGCTGCTGATGTCGCAGTCGGGGTGTTTGCTGGCAGCAAGCACCAGGGCGAGCAGCACCCCCTCCCGCTGCTGCTGCTGCTGTTGCTGCTGCTGCTGCTGCGGGGCCGCGAGGTGTCTGTACACCGCGAAAGAGCCACTCCCAGCAGCTCCCAAAGAACTCAAAGTCTTCGAATCTCTTTGTGCTGCTAAAGCTGTCAGGCAGTTCAGCAGCGTCAAAGACTGACACAAAAACGGGCACCGGCTCTTGCCCGCCTCGCGGTCTGACACGCAAACCCTAAACCCTAAACCCTAAACCCTAAACCCTCGAGGTTTGGCCCCGGGCTACTGGCTGGCGCTGGAGGGACACAGAGTGGGGGCCGCACCCACGCAGCAGACGACGCGTGCACGCAACAGCGAGGGCAGCAGCAAAGGCAGCAGCAACAGCAGCAGCAGCAGCAGCAGCAAGAGTGCAGCAACAGGGACACACCTGCAGCAGCGGAGGACTCTCCTGCTGCTAGGGGCGCCAGCGCCGCTCGTGCCTGCTGCTGCAGGTACACGCGGAGCTGCTGCGCGTGAGCTGTGGGGTCGCAGCTGCAGCCGCACTGGCCTGCAGCAGCAGCAGCAGCAGCTGCTGCTGCTGCAGCAGACTCGTAGCGCCCCGTACTGAGGAGACCATCGGTCTCCTGCTGCAGCAGCTCTTCCCTGTCGCAGCCCATCACAGAAGTGACCACTAGCCTGGCCACTTCTTCTCTAACCTGCGCCCCACAGTGCATGCGCAGCCTCCAAACCCTAAACCCTAAACCCTAAACCTTAAACCCTAAACCCTGAACCCTGGGGGCTTCGTGCTGCAGCAGCACCTGCTTGTATGGGTGGTCGAAGCAGCGCAGCACGGCCTCCTTGCCAGCTTCCAGTGTGGCAGCAGCAAAGCAGCATCCGCAGCTGCAGCAGCAACTTCCGTTATTGCTGCTGCAGCCGCTGCTGCTGCTGCTGCTGCTGCTGCTGCAGCGGGGGGCAGCAGAAAAAGTGGCGACCAGCAGCAACGCATAGTACAGACGCAGCTGCCGCGTCAAGTCCCCAGAAGATGCTGCATCTGAATCTCCCGTGGGCACTGACTGTAGCAGCAGCACAAGCAGCAGCAGCAGCAGCAGCAGTGGCAG